TTTTCTAGCTTTTATATCGTCATTCCACGTCACAGTACAGAGCAATAAAATCCACTCTCTGCATTTAACCCGTCCCCTTGCTCAGGGACCCAGAGTGGCAGTCTGTGGGAGTGGGGCTCAAACTCAGAGCCCCACTGCGGGTCACCGGCTCAGCCGAATGGAAGGTAGCAATCAGTGGGGTGACAGATGGCGCAGCCAGATCATTCTGTCCACATCCTTGCTAATCGATGGTTTATGGTTAGGAGACACGTCCTGATGGAAGGATGTCCTGGAGAACGTCCCAGACTGCACCTGCAGAGAGGCAACGTGGGGCCGCGGGGTCACAGTTGGGGTTATGGGGGGGGGGGGAAGCTTCCTCAGCGGGGTGTAGGTCAGACTCAGGAGCAGGGACATGTGGTCGGAGCAGAGCCTGTCGATGGTAGACGTGTTTGTGCACCAGTTGTTGTTCGTGTAGACACTCAGTCCCCCCCCTGGCTGCTTCTAGGGCCTTTAGCCCCCCTGGCTGCTTCTAGGGCCTATAGCCCCCTGGCTGCTTCTAGGGCCTTTAGCCCCCCCTGGCTGCTTCTAGAGCCTTTAGCCCCCCTGGCTGCTTCTAGAGCCTTTAGCCCCCCCCTGGCTGCTTCTAGAGCCTTTAGCCCCCTGGCTGCTTCTAGGGCCTTTAGCCCCCTGGCTGCTTCTAGAGCCTTTAGCCCCCCTGGCTGCTTCTAGGGCCTATAGCCCCCCTGGCTGCTTCTAGGGCCTTTAGCCCCCCCTGGCTGCTTCTAGAGCCTTTAGCCCCCCTGGCTGCTTCTAGGGCCTTTAGCCCCCTGGCTTCTTCTAGNCTTCTAGAGCCTTTAGCCCCCCTGGCTGCTTCTAGGGCCTTTAGCCCCCTGGCTTCTTCTAGGGCCTTTAGCCCCCCTGGCTGGATGGCTGCAGCCAGGTCTCAGTGAACAACAGTCCAAACCAGCCTATTTACTTCCAGCTGGGCTTTATCTCCTCCATCTGGTTTATGAGGGAAATGGAGATGATAATGCTGGGCAGCGATGGTTGGTTTGGAGGCGCCTCCAGAGCTGGACAAGGATCCAGGCTTTTACTTCCTGCCCTGCGTCTCCCTGCGTCTCCCTGCGTCTCCCTGCGTCTCCTCCTCTTCCTGTCCACAGGGCTGAGTATCCACCGGGGGTTTGGTGTCCGGGTTATCTCTGGCGGTATGTTGGTAAAGTATTCGGATACATGCTGTTAGCTTCATAATCCCAACTATCTTTAGAGTTAAAGTAAATAAAGAGAAAGAACCTCAGTAAGGAGAATGTAGACTCCGCCCCTTCCTTAATGAACCGCACCAACATTCCGCCAAGACCATCATGGATCTGGCTGACGTTTGACCCAAGAAGAGTCCAAACAGGAAATGACCTCAGCAGACGGTCTTCTAGAACCTGCTTCAGTCAGAAGGTTCCCTTTATCTGCTGGGAGTCGCAGGAAAATGGCAGAAACCTTCCAAGCCTGATTAAAAAGCTTCTCCTGACGATCAGACACCTGGTTTAACGTCCTCGTCCCGCTGAGGAGTCATCATGGCGCCCATCTGTGACGGCCGAGGCGTTCCAAAGAGCACATGTGTTCCTGAAACCCTGAAGAGGAACCCTGACTCCAGATTCACAGCATTAACTCTTTATTAGGATAGAAAATATTCAACCAAAGCTGCTTTTAAAGCACACAGTGTTCAAGCAGAAGCAGCTGTTTCTGCAGAAGGTTCCAGAATCCTGAAGGAGCCGTTTATCCCGGCGATGCAGGCCTGATTCAAACGGCGTGCTCTAATCAAAAGGCTCCTCCCATCCTGCAGGAGATGTTTCTTATTTAAACCTTATCTCAGGCTCCACCCAAGCAGAGACATTTGGGACTTGTTATCTGGTTTGTTCCTGAGCTCAGAGCGCTGAGGGAGGCTTTAACGTCTCCAACAATCAGAACCAGTTTCCTTTCAACTCTGCTGAGGAAAACATTCTGACTCAATAAAGTCATTTATTACAAAAATGGAGGAAATACCAACAGAATCTGCCTCCTTCTGCAGACTAAACCCAACAGCTCATTATTTCCCTGCTTTAAGTGTTTGCTTTCTCCAGGGCTGTTTAACCTTTAACTGGATAGATTGTTCATATTTCTATACCACTGGCTTTACACACACTTCTAAAGCTATAAATAAACACGGTGATGAACAGCAGGAATGTTTCAGTGTCCACCTTTGCTCTAGTTTACTAAGAATCAGTTTAAATCTGATTTAAACAGCAACAGGCCTCCAGTTAGTCTCTAATTCCTGTAAGTTTGGTGGATCTGTGGAAGCTGATAAACCCTGAGGCGCCTCAGTCCCTGGTTTATCCGTCAGCCTGAAATAAACCCAGACTAAACATCTTTTAACAGACTTCATTAATATATTCACCCATATTTCAGACACATTTATTCAAGATGATTTAAGAAAAGAAATGT